AGGCAGTCGGGCCCCAGAGATGCAACTTTCACACAGAGTCCCTGATGACAATGAAGCCTCCTGAACTCTCAACCTCCAGACATCTATGGGACAGCAACCACTACCAGTTCCTTGACTCAAACACAATTATACCTCAGAGATCCCTAAAATATCAGCAATCCACAGAACTCTGGGATGAACCATTCTACACTCTCCCTAGATAAGCATGTCCAGACCATTCATGCTCAGAGGCCACTTAAAGGCTAACAATTTCCTAACTGACCTTTAGCACAGATGACTCACCACAGACAAAGCAAGCTCAACATGTATTAAATCAGACCTACCATCTCACCTCCTAAACCTGCTCTTTCTACTCTATGCTCTTTCTTGGAAAATGGCCCCATATCCCCCATGCAGCCAGGAACCTGAGAGGCACTTTGGACTTTTCCTTCTCATTCACTCTCTGACTGCACTGATCCACCTCAGCACCCCTCTATGTTGGCCTCTTCAACATCTCTCAGACTAGGCCCTCCTCTCAGGCCCTGACCCCCTTCAGTGAGTCTCCTGTTTCCTTTTGCCTCTGGTTTGGGCCTTCTTCCATGCCCTACTGGGTCTCTCTATACCCAGTATTCTTCCTCATTCCTATTATAAACTCTGAGATGGCATGGATCCTATATTATCCTTATCCTAAACCTGGCTTCCTCAATGACCTGAACTAACTCCAAAGTAGTACATACCTTCTGCTTCCTCTCACTTCCGAAAGTTGAAACTCAAAAATGTGTCACATGCCTGTTCCTAGCCAAATACATGTCTCTAATGAGTGTGCTGAATGGAGTCTCCTACACATTCTGATTAGCATGTAGGTCAAGGACACAGTCTGTAAGAACAAGCACCCCTGCATGGCTCTGAATTGGAATGGGCATATTCAAGCTTCACCAAATTCATTGTTTTTGTGATTATAGCTTCTTACACATTTCCTAAGACTTCAACCTCTGAAATTCATGAATTCCTAAACCTTCCTGGAATAGAGAAAGTTTCCATGATCAATTACTCTGAGCAAATTACACCCACCCATTACAACACCTTCACTGGTTGGATTTTTCTCCCCAAGCTTCACTGATGCCTAATTGAATGTGTTTACTAGACTTCACTGTCTTGACGTGTTTTGTAACCTGCTAACCTTATCCCTAAGGTCATGAAAGGTCTCTTGCCCTCTTACCAATGACAGGCACCTCCAAGGTCTGACCAACACTGGTGGGTGCCATTCAAACAAAGGTCAGTCACAGATCTGCTTCACACTTACTCAGAGAGGTTGTGGCTAGCACTAGAGAGGAGTGTGTATGTGTGTGTTGAGGGAGGGTATATGTGTGTATGTACATATGTCTGTGTGCATGTGTATGCACATGTGTACATGCATATGTTAACCTTGAATTTGTGGATTCTGCATCCTTCAACAGAAGAACCAAACTGCATTTCTCCAGTGGCGTAAGGGCTCCACAAGGCAACCTGGGCTATGTGGTATATATTCCTGTCTCATGCCAGTGGTGTTCTGGCACCTGCAGAGATCCATGGGACTCTGACTTACCTCTGAGCACTCCTCCACAAGACGTCGAACTTTGCTACCCCCCCCACACACACACAAATTGTTTCTCTGACTCTGATCAGCCAGCCTCCAGCTGAAGATAAGCATCTCCTTCCGTGTGATAAAGCAGTTAATCTATTTGGACAAGCCGAGGTCCTCCAGACTAGACCCTGTGTGCTAACCTCAAATAATTGTTCACTTCTTACATCCTTTCTTCCAAGTCAAAGAACATGGCACTGAAAGGGCTCTAAGTGCCAGCATGTGCAGAGTCAGGGACTCCCACTGAGAGACAGGATATGCCACTGCTGTTTAGGAGCAGTTGTCTCCTATTACAGTCACCAGTGCCACACTCCTGGCTTCCCTCTTCCCATGGAAACAGCAGGAACATGCAGTGCACCAGGAGCTGCAGAGTCTTGGAAGACTGGGCACACGTCAAATACACACCCCCAGAAAATCCACAGCTCCCACTCAGACCTGCAGATCTGTCTGAGGGCCCCTGGAGAAATACCATACCCAGAGAATTCCTTATACCTTCAATTAACTGGAATTATTTCCTGTGTTTCAACTTCAAAGAAAGAGGAAAATGCAAATCACAGCACAAGTTTACCCTGAACCAGGCCAACTGCAGCTCTCAGGAGATGGTGCACATGCAGGCTAATGCCCCAGGCCATCTGCACTCCATGAGCAGTCATGTGATGGCCTGAATTCTGAGGCCAAAGGACTAGAGAGTACTCAGGTATTGAAAACACAGAATCCCATTACTAAATTTTACCCTCTGAAGGAACAAGCATATCTTAAAGATCTTTGATAAACAGCATCTGAGGTTTACTTGCTTAAAGACCCAGTGAAGTAAGAGTTTAGTAAACCAGAACAGCCTTTCTAGAGCACCAGTGCTTCTGCCAGTAAGTTATGCCCAGTGGATCCCTGGTCTATGTACTTCCCAGACACCTTCGAATCTCTTCTCCATGGTGCAGCCAGAGGGAATGAACAAAGATGAGAACCAGATCAGGTCAGGTGGTGGTTTTGCATATTCCTGAGATATGGTCCCAAGTTCTTCCTGTGACTCACCAGCACCCCCAGCCCAGGTCATTCTCCCTCTTCCTCCCCAGCACTCCTGTTGCTCTCTCTGCATGCCCAGCCTCAACCTAGGTCCTCCTCATCCCACTAAATGTGGCTTAAACGTCATCAAGTCCAGGAAGCCTCCTCTGACCCCCTAAGCTGTAATAGGTTATCATAGCACCCCATGTTTCATCTAGACAATGTGAATGTTAATTGCTTTAACTAAGCTTTCTAATTACTTGCCTAAAATCAGCCTTCCCAATTGTAACCACAAGCTCCAAGAGGGGAGGAACCAGGTTTTCCTGGTTTACCTGTGTCCCTACCACAGCAGAAGGCCAAGGAGATTCTCAGTCAATACTTGCTGAATTGAACATCTCACTGTTCTGCACCAGACCCAGCAACAGGGAGGGTGCTTATGAAGTCTGTGTGAACGACAAAACTCCAGGCCCAGAAGGAAGCCAGACAGCATGCCACGCAAGTTAAACAAATGTTTCTTTACAATGTAATGAAAGATGGACTTGGACTGTCCTAATGGACATTCTCCAAGCCTGGTAAACAAGATCTAAAAGGACCAACTAATGCACCAAATTCAGGACCCAAAAACCTAAAATGTCCACTTAATAGCCAACTGAGAGAAATAAATGGTGCATTTTACACAGATGTTCCAAAGTAACACTGTACAATGCATGGCTGTGTTATGTGTGGTGTGTGCATGTGTTTGTGTGATGGAACCTGGCTACAGGAAGGCAAGGAGAGTGTCTTTGAGAACATCTAAAGACACCACTTGCAGAACCAAACTCTATTTTCTCCCATTTTCCTTTCTCCTGGACAATTAACAGCATGGTCACGTCCCTTTGTCCTGTCTTGCTGATAATCAGGCAAATGCATTAAGAATCGCTTGGGTCTTACAACCTAAGTTGGTGGTAAAGTAGTTAAGACAAACTTATTTACCACATTAATTAAATGGTCTATTTAACATGGAATATCAATTCTCTAATCACATCTCAGTTGAACTTCTTCTTTCAATTAACAACTGTGAAGTCTACTGACAGAGGTCCTACTGTTCTAGGATCATTAAGAGCACTTTCATTATCTGTCAAATGAGGGAGTAAGAAGCAGAAAGGCAAGCACTCTCAGGAGTGGCCTCTCCCCTACTTAAGAGATGATTAGGGAGTGAGCAGCGGCAGTTCTCATTAGTTGCTTAGCAATGAAACGACCTCCTATGAAATCATAAATGGAAACAAAGTGTGAGAGGGGTTGCAATAAAATCCACTAAACAGATATGTTCTCATCCTCAGAGGATAATCCTCGAGTAAACTTAATCTCTCCAGATTGCAACAATGATGGGAATCAGCAGACTACAAACTGAAAAAGCTAGAAACACAATCTCCTAAAAACTAACAAACATCAAGTCAGGAAGGGTCACATGAAGACAAATTAAAATCGGTTTGAAATTTAAATGCTACTGCTAACAAGTAAAGCCATCCTTTAATATTTATTTTCTATCCATGGAAAAAGTAGATCTTTCTGTTAGCTGAGTTTTCGAAACCTTAAAACATGTTGAGGCTGGGCTCAGTGGCTCAGCCTGTAATCCCACGCTTTGGGAGGCCGAGGTGAGTGGATT